GCTGCTGAACCCACTCTCTCAGTGGACGGGAAGCAGCGGAGCGGAGTCAGTATTTTTCGCTGGCTCTGTTCTTGCAAATGTACGAGCCGACTGAACCCGCGTGCCACCCCCCGACCCCCACCCCCCGCGAGATGCGGGACCTCAGGCCTGTATTGCCCAAGTTTGATCAGTACAAGCGAACCCGTGAAAAGCGCACAGCCGACAAGCCCGCTTGTGCGGCGGAGAACTGGAGAGAGTGCCAATGTCTGTTCCCGGTTTCTGGTCGATCCCCGGTGTGCTTGGTGCAGACAGAATAATGAGATCCAGGGGGCCTCTGACGATGTGATTTGATTCTTGCTGTTCCGATAACCTGCCACAATGTCTTGTTTTGTTGTTGTTGTTTGTTTTTGTTTTGATCAGTAAATATTTGTTCAACTGAAAGTTGGAACATAAAATGTTGATGGAATGAGTTGTGACTCTTGAAACTTTATGTTTAGAAGCGTAATCTCAGATTTTCCAGGGTCTAGGGTGCAGTGTGGTGGGTGGAGCTGACCTCCTAACTTCAGGCTTTGGTTTGGGAGGATCCGGAGGCTGGAGAGAAAAGTAACTGTTGCTAAAATTTGAAGAGGTAATGAAGAATTTTTGTGGTTTATTGGTATTTCTTGTTCTTTTCCTTGGTTAAAAAAAAAAAAGTTTTATTTTTTGAGTACTTCTCTGGGGAGGGGCTGCTAATTATTTTTTGGGTGTAAAGAATTATTGTTAGTACATAAAGATTGTTAGAATACTCTTTATAACAGGGCATGGGAATGCTGGGAGTTTGTCTTTCTCCCTCACCTTATTCTCAGGGGCTTTTGCCCTATTATGCTGCTAATTTCTAATTTATTCAAGGGACATGGACTGGCTAGATGACTCTTTATGACTTGTGACACGTTTTCATCTCCTTTGTTATGGAGACCAGATCCCCCTAAAGAGGAAGGCAGGATGGCGTTTAAACAAGTAGCCATGTGTTGAGCTGCATTATGGGTGTCTGAGGGATAGTTCTAGGGTGGATGACGCCCAGTCTCCCCCTAGGATTGGGTAGTTCTCCTTGCAAGAAAATTTGGGTCCCCTACCCCCATCCTAGGTGACCTGAGATGATAGGCAGCAGAGTGAACAGCTTCAAATGTTTCTTAAGCTGTTCCTTTCTCAGAGCCTGCTAATTTGCTTACCAAGTTGAGGTCTTAGTGAGGAAGTTCTCAGATGGGGAAGTAGGGTGATAGTTAAATGTTGATGAAACCAGTATCTTCTTACTCCCCAACTTGAGGGAGCTTCATGGATGGACTTTCTGATCTGGGGAACTTTGGACTCCTCCTGAGGAGACACCCCTGGAGAGGGAGGGGGTGCTTGGGTTACCTGTTATCCTCTTAGGGCATTCTGGAATGTGGGTTTTGCAGGCTCCTCCCTCTGGAGCTGGAAACTCAGCACTCCCTGATGGTATCTCATGCTGTTAGTGGGATTGTCACTTGATTATTTTTCTGGTTGCTTTGTGTGAACATTCACTGTTTGTTGGGCACCTGGAAGGATCCAAAGCTGAGACTCAGGAGTTGCTCTGGGATCCATCTTTCTTATCTACTTTCAGCCCAGAGATTGATCTTTTACATTGTAGCCCTGTTCTTTTCGATTTTGAATTTCCTTTGCAGTTCTTGCTAAACAGGGTGCATAAACATATTCAAATGCAGTATTTTTCCTTACCTGTTTTTTTGATAGTAGTAACAATACACATAACAAAACTTACCATTTTACCACTTTTAAGTACAGTTCACCTTTTTTTTTTTTACAGTTCACCCTTTTTAAATATATCTCTCCTCTTATCCTGGTATTTACCTCTTTTTTTTTTTTTTTTTCCCCTGGTCTAAAAAATTGAGGCATGTTATTGAAGAAGTGAGTGGGCTTTCAAACAGCAGTTTTGAGTCTGGCTTTATTCTCAATTCCTAGTCTCTGGAGGGGTTAGAATGCCTGAGTACTGTGTGACTTTACTATTTGTGGGGTCTGGTGGACTGCACAACCACTTTTATCACCTTTCTTTGGTTTAGGTTTACTTTACTGCTGATTACCTTTCTCCTTCATGTTAGAGCACATACTCCGAGAGGAGAGGCAAATAGCCCTTTGCTCTGAGTGCCTTGGCTATACTCCACCTTTGTTTACTCTGGGGCAGATAGCTCTACCTCCCTCCAGCTGGCCTCCCCCTTGGTGAATTTAAAGTCCCTGAGGACACAGTATCTCCCTGGGTAGATATATTTCTGAACACAGTGAATCCAGCAGCCCTTTACTAACCAGCTCGGGCCTAACTTTGTCTATTACTGGTTTCCTTTGAATTTCATCTGTGGCTTTTGTCTAAAAAGAGAAACCCCAGAGTGGCAGATTGCCAGATTTAGGCTAATCCCCTTCTGTCCTTGGCCCTGATCTGCCTCCAAGCACCATACTCTGTCAGTTCCTTGCCTTGAGGTATGTGGTGTGCTTGGGGAATCTTCTCTATGGGGGATGGTAGCATTGAAACCAGACTCATTTCCTAACTGAAGCTGTGATCAGCCATTTGCTAATGGGACCGAATTGCTGCTGTGTCCTTCCTCCTCCCTGATCTTCACTTCCTGGACAATGGAGAATCCTATTATTACCTAAAGGAAAGAATCCTCCAGGTGGGGCAGAGATGGGCAGGCTGAAGATTCAAAACCACATCTGGACATGCTAACCCTAGGGTGATTAGAATAGCATAAAGTTGAAAGTTTCCTGTCTGGTTTGCACAAGTAAGCCGCACCCAGTCTTTTGCAGGACTTGGTTGACCTGGAAGGGACAGGCGTTATACATAGGTTCTGGCTTGAAGGAAGAGTCTTCCTTGTTCCCTTCCATGTAGTAATAGATCTTGATTCTGCAAACTTCTGTTCATTGTAAAGAGAACTGATCCTCTGTGGGGAGGAGAAAAAAGAAAACAGTAAACATCCCTCCACCCCATCCCCACCCCCTACCCCCGTCCCTGAAGCTTTTGCTGGGACACCCATGACAGGTTCTGCCTTTGATACAGGTTTGTTCAGTGTGCACATGCTCTTGTGAGGGCAGCAGGATGTGTTTTTTCCTCCCTTTTCAGCCTTGCTAAGAATTCTATTGTAAATGCTGATTTGTGGGAGAAACTGCCCAAGCTAGCTTGTTGTCATGGAAACTGTACACCCCGCCCTCATCGCCTGTTACTTTCTACTCCATTTGGGTAACAACTGGTGAGCTGGATGGGGACTGAGATTTTATCAGCTTCTTCCAAATCTAGTTCCTTTTTAATTAAAATGTTTTTAACGTTCTGGGCATTTGAAGGGAGAGATGAGGTAAATAGTTCTTGCTTGATAGTTTAACTTGTTCTTGTGATCTTGACCTGTTGGCCTTTTTGAGCTTATGAGGTGCAGTGTGTCTTGTCCTGGGGGACATGGGACATCTGTTGTCTTGGAAAAGACAGGATCAGAGAATACTTGTCTTTGTGATATTTTAAATAGTAAGAGACACGAATGGTTTCTTAGTAATTTCAGCTTATGTGGATTCCTTGTTATTTTTCTCCTAGGGGTTGGTGGTTATATAGTCCGAACTCCCACAGTACTTTGAACCTCCCATGTTTGTATCTGGTGATTTTTGTGCCAAATAACCTGATTTCCCCCCCCCCCCTTTTTGAGTGAGAGTGAGAGCTTGAGGGGGAAGGGTAGAGAAAGAGAGAATCCCAAGCAAGCTCCTTGGGAGCCCTAGGTAGGGCTTGAGATCATGATCTGAACTGAAGTTAAGTCAGACACCTAAGTCACTGAGCAAGCACCCTGGTACCCCCAAATAACCTGAAGGAGTCTTTTGGGCTATATCCCTCCCATAGAGGCTGTGGCCCAGATTATTTCTGTAGCTGTTTCCACCCACTGACTGCCAGGAGGAAATCAGGGTAATAGAATTCAGGTACAATCTGGACTGTAGAAGAGAGATCATGTTAACCAAGCACTTGGATAAGCATCTGAACTGGGTAGCATGCAGAGCAGATTAAATTCTTGTATGATTGTGGTGCAGCCAGTGTACTTGCCACCAGTAAAGGTGTAGGGAGGGTAAAGATAGTCTGAAGAGGGAGGCTTTTCTGCCAGTAGAATTCATCCACACACAGTCTGCCTCCTTTCCTTGTTTCTCACTACACATCCCAAGGAGGCTTGGGATGGCTTGCAGTCTAGCCTCTGCCTTATAATACGCTGGATGCCATGAGGGACTGTCACAAGCCATGAGGAGGGGGAGACTCAGGGATGACTGCAGCAGTTGCAGGGAGTCACAGTTCAGAAATTTGTAGGAGTGGGGGTGGACATGGAGGAAACATTTTCTTCTGCTCCCGTGTTTTTTGTGTGTGTCTTCAAGGCAGGTCATTTTAGCTAGAAGAGCTTCTTGACACCTCTGAAAAGGTGGAGGTGGGGAGCAAGTCACAGGGCTAAGAGATAAATATCCCAGTGTTACATCCTTTTCCTTTCTGATCTAATCTGTTACTCTGAAAAACCTTCTCTTAGCTAGTGATCCTCTTGGTATGTTAGGATAAGGTCATTGGAGGATTGGGTTAAGCAGCATATTAATAGATAATCCAAATTTTCCTCTTTAGGGAACTTTGCTTATTTTTTCATTTTATGAGACACTTAGATGAAAGTTGCTAAAGACTAGGACACTGCTCTAAGCCAAGAGCTCAGGCAGCAGGAACCTTCACTGGCCACCTTTTCTGACACTAGTGTGTTCAGGGTTTGACCTGAGTCCAGAAAGGAGGTAGTACTAACTGGCACTGGGCTGGGCAAAGGAACTGAGTTTTAAAACTCTCTTCCTGCGGAGCGCATGGAAGTCTAGTGCTGATGGGAAGGGAGGAAATGGGTGTATATGTCACCGTGTCTGTTTCTGCGCTAAAACAGGTGTTGCCATGTTGGACCTTGGCTTCTTCTTGGCAATCAGCTCCAAACTTAGTCAGCTCTGCTTCTCCTTTCCACTCTTTCATTCAAACACAGGCTGAGGCTGAGGTGGCCTCCTTGAACCGTAGGATCCAGCTGGTTGAAGAGGAGCTGGACCGCGCCCAGGAGCGCCTGGCCACTGCCCTGCAAAAGCTGGAGGAAGCGGAGAAAGCTGCTGATGAGAGTGAGAGGTGTGTAGATGAGCACCTGTTGGAGTGTGGGTTTTAGGAGCTCATGACACTCTGGATTTCTTTACAGTCCTGCTCCCCCTCCCCCAAGTTTTTATTTAAATTCTACTTAGTTAACATATTAGAATAGTAACCTGTCTCTGTTTCTGTTTTGCATATTCTTTTTACTTGAAGACAGAGTAAGGGTTACCTGGGTGGAGTGACCTGGTGTGACCTTTTATAATTGATGTTACCCTATAGACTGATCTAATGATAAGTCAATAAGGTAACCTTCAATAAGGTTACCAGGATGGCCTCCACTGAGTGCATCAGACTTAATTTGTGAGGTTAGTCCCTCTGAAGCAGTAGTTCTTAGAGTAAGCTCCCAGGTTTTCCACCAAGTTTGAATTTCCATTCAAATTCTCAGCCCTTACCCCACCCAGATCTAGGAGTCAGGAACTCTGAAGGTGGAGCCCAGCAATCAGTGTGGAAAAAGCTCTGTCAGCATCCACTACACCTAAGAATCATAGGGCTGTAGGGGCAGGGAATCATTGGAAAGTTAAAAATATTGGAATGCCTGGAATTCCACCCCAGTTCAGTGAGAGTGCATTGCAAGAGGCCTGGGTGTTCTTTTTTCTTTTTTCTTTTTTTAAGAGTTTATTTATTTATTTATTTATTTATTTATTTACTTATTTATTCATGAGAGAGAGAGAGAGAGAGACAGACAGACAGACAGACAGGCAGAGGGAGAGGCAGCTCCATGCAGGGAGCCTGACATGGGACTCAATCCTGGGTCTCTAGGATAAGGCCCTGGGCTGAAGGCAGCGCTAAAAGAGGCTAAAAGAGGCCCAGGTGTTCTTAAAGTTCCTCTGATAATGTGTGTCCAGGGTTGAGAATCAAAGTCCTTGAACCAAGTCAAAACTTTCTTTGGTGAAAATAGCAATTGGCTTTTGGCTTCTTGCCGTGAGTTAAACTAGAACAAAGGTGTGTGACGACATGCGTGGGGTCAGAGGAAGGCTTTCAGAATTGAAAATGCACTATCAGAATATGCGACACTGTGCCACTGTGAAAACGAGAAATGTTGCAGTATGCACTATGTTAGAGAGTAGTGTCCAAATTCTAGAAAGGGAAGAAAATGTGTTGCGGAATAAGGTAGTGTATGATTCTCTTGGAGTGTGGCGAAGTGGAACTAAAGTTTAAGGCATTTTATCTATATAAAATTCTTCTAAAAGGGTTATGAAGAGTTTTTCCCTGTTGAGCAGGGCTAGAAGTGGGGAGGCTTATTTTGTGCCCTTAAACTATATAGTTAAATATTAAGTGCATATTTTTTCTTATTAAAAAAAGCTTATTGTTTTGAAAAAGTATTAAAATAATTGAAGTAAGGTAGGGGTTGCTGTGGGAGTTCTTTTTGGGTGGTAGGCAGAAAGGGATGGGTGCCCTTCCGAGGCCCTTGGAGTGGAGCTGGTGACAGACTCCCCAGGGTGACAGTGTTACATTTGTTCTTCTTGTCTTTGGCAGAGGTATGAAGGTTATTGAGAATCGAGCCTTAAAAGATGAAGAAAAGATGGAACTCCAGGAAATCCAACTCAAAGAGGCCAAGCACATTGCAGAAGAGGCAGACCGGAAGTATGAAGAGGTATGGTGCCTTGTGTTTGTCCTCTTTGTTGTCATTGGGTATCTTTTTTTTTTTTTTTTAGATTTTATTTATTTATTTGTGAGAGATAGAGAGGCACGGGGATCCCTGGGTGGCGCAGCGGTTTGGCGCTTGCCTTTGGCCCAGGGCGCGATCCTGGAGATCCGGGATCGAATCCCATGTCGGGCTCCCGGTGCATGGAGCCTGCTTCTCCCTCTGTCTATGTCTCTGCCTCTCTCTCTCTCTGTGTGTGTGACTATCATAAATAAATAAAAATTAAAAAAAAAAAAAAAGAGAGAGAGAGAGGCAGAGACACAGGCAGAAGGAGAAGCAGGCTCCATGCAGGGAGTATGGCATGGGACTCGATCCTGGGACTCCAGGATCACGCCCTGGACCAAAGGCAGACACTCAATGGCTGAGCCACCCAGGGATCCCTGTCATTGGGTTTCTGAAAAGAATCATGGTAGAAGGAAATGGGGGGAATAACTTTCTCTTTGCTTCACTGAGCTGTATGGGGTCTTCTGTAGGTGGCTAGGAAGTTGGTGATCATTGAGGGGGACTTGGAACGTACAGAGGAACGAGCTGAGCTGGCAGAGTCGTGAGTATCTTGCTCCCAAAATCTTTCCATACCATTCTGTCCCTTCCCCTTTGGCTTGCGCATTCATGTGAGTAAACTAGCATTCCTTCAGCCTTGTTAAACAGGGCCTAGAGAGGGGGCTTCTCTAACTCTCTCCACTAGTGACAGGTGGTGACAAACGACACTTCCTCTATTTCTCGTAGGGAGGGTTTGCAAACTAGGGGCAAGTAAAGACTACTTAATCCTTGGTGAGTGGTGAACTGGAAGGCCCTACAGGGTCCTCCCACCCGGAGTCTGTTTCTCCTTGAGGCGTGGTGCCTATGTTGACTGCAGATCTCTTTTACTACATTGCCAGTCTGGGGACCTTGAGGGCCAGGGCAGACAGGGAGTGCTCCTCTGTAGGCACCTTCTGGGCCTTGTATAACAAAGGCAGTGCTGATGCGTATGTATTTGTGCTTCCTTTGTATTCCCCTCTCCCAGACATGACATATCATGACCATGGTGGTATTTTCTTCCCATGTTTTGGAAAAAAAAAATTTTTTTTTTTCGTTTTGCTGCTTGTTTCCTTGCTGTGTCCTTTTTGACCTTTCTCCCTCCCCACCTACCACCTGGCTTGTGCGACCCCTGTGACTGTCACTAACAGCCGTTGCCGAGAGATGGATGAGCAGATCAGGCTGATGGACCAGAACCTGAAGTGTCTGAGTGCTGCTGAGGAAAAGGTACTAACCGTCAGACCCACAGAGAGGTTACGTGTGTGGTGTGGTTTCGTTCTGTTCCGTTTCTGTTTTTATTTTGCAGCTGCCTCCCCTCCACTGGTTGATTGTTGAGTGCTTTCTCATCTCTTCATGGAATGCTCCATTCTATCCCACTTACTTGGCATCTTTCATCTCTTTCCTAGTTGCTTCACCACCTCTTCACAGGCTCTCTCCTTCCCGTGGGTGATTTGGGGGACTCTTTGGGTTGGGTGTCTTCCCACCTCTGCCCCAGCTAGCAGTGGTGACTTGTTCCTGCTAGTGATTTTTCTCAAGTATTTTATTAGTATCCAAACATTCTGAGTCCTAGCCCAGCAGAGCCCAGCTTCTGATAGTGGTAGAGGGAGGAGGGTTGACACTTGCTCAGGTGACCTGGGAACTTCTCTTTTCCCCAGTATGCCTTTCAGCTCTCTCTACATATAGGTTCAATTCACGTCTGTGTGTCTTTCTCTCCCTTTTTTTTATTCTCTCCTCCTTCCCCTTTCCTCTCCTGCGGTATTTAAAACATTCACAGTAAGTGTTCTGAGCTGGAGGAGGAGCTGAAGAATGTCACCAACAACCTCAAGTCTCTTGAGGCTCAGGCGGAGAAGGTAGGGGCTGGTTGTGAGAGTGACAGGCTTTGGGGCCTGGGCTCAGCCCTGCCCTTGGTGAGAGACTGGAGAAACCCATTCCTTATGTAATCTAGTGAGACATGTCTTTGTCATCCAGATTCTGGGTTTAATGCTAATTCCTCTGCACTTTGATTTCTTTAGTCCAAAGTCACTTCATGGTCTTAGGTGCTTGGGGTCATGGTGTCAGGCTGATACCACTGTGCTAAATACCAGTAATTATGGGTCCTAAAAGGTTTTCTAGCAGACCAATGGGGGCATCAGATAGTAGATATGAGACTTAAGAATTAAGACAGATGACTTGTCTTTACCATGATATGGGACAATTTCAGCCATGTGGCCTTGGGGTGTTGCTACACCTACACCTACTCATTAAACAGGAGGAAGGAAAAATACCTCCTCGAGTTGATCTGAGTAAGATAAAAACTTAGACCGTTTTAAAAATAAAGTTCTGGAGGATTCTAATCTGAGGATATCAAGGCTCGTAAGGACACTGATTTGTGGATTTAAAGGATCTGTTGTCCAGTAATGGGCCTTGCTCTTTTTCTCAGGGGCCATTCAGCATATTAAATCCAAGAGGCTATTTACTGTAAGAGTGAATATAGTGGCAGGGGGTAGGGTAGGGTGGTAGGATTGTCTGTATGAGTAATTTCTACTCTGAAACTTTGATTCCGCTTGTCTTATAGTACTCTCAAAAGGAAGACAAATATGAGGAAGAGATAAAGATTCTCACGGATAAACTCAAGGAGGTGAGCTGAGGGGTTATAAGGAAGGGACAAGGTGGGTTGTAGGGAAGGGATCAAAACATTCTGAGGTGTATGAGGCGGTCATTTAGACATAGACAAGCTGGGTTTGGTTCTGAAAGGTCTACAGGTAGAAAATAGTGGAAGAGATAGAGAATCCTTCTCTTATTGTCTTGTTCATGTCTGATTCTTGCTGCTGTCATATTTCCCCCAGGCAGAGACCCGTGCTGAGTTTGCTGAGAGATCGGTAGCCAAGCTGGAGAAGACAATTGATGATTTGGAAGGTATGGAGCCTGGGAGAGGAATTAGAGGGATACAGAGGAAGACCTTGCCCATTGATGTTAACCTTTTTCCCTGTCCACCAGAGGGAGGTGGTCGTGACCTGGCACATGTCCTGTGCTCTGTCCTCTGCCACAGCTAGGTGAAATACATCCAATCCTAGAATTGGGTTTTTATATATACAACCTTTTCCTTTAATAAGATTTCATCTAGTATTCTGGAATTTGCATCCTTCCCTTGGAGGAGACTAGTAATGGAGGCATTTACCTCCAATTTAGTAGTCTTAAATCCTGGTCTCTGGGTTGAAATGGTAGCCATGCTTTCAGGAGGCATAAGAGTGCATGTTACCCTGTGGCTACATTTGGCAATCCTGTTCATCACTTCAGCTGTGGGGGACCTCTCTAAGAGATAAAGAATCTCGGAGCTGACCAATCCCAGGGGCTTTCTAAATACTTTTCTCCCCACATTTTGGCAACTGTGTCTGCTCTAACAAGCGAAAATTTGGAGAACTCTGAGATGTGCTCCGTTGGGAGAGTTTGGGGAGGTAGCCTGTAGAGCAGAGGGTCCAAGAATACTGGTCTTGCTTGGTAGATAAGGAAGTGTTGGAATATTAATGTGTGCTTTTTCCTTTTTCTATTTTTATTGTGCCATCCCTGCTAGGAATGAGGTTAACTGGGTGGGAGTGGGATCCTCCTGAATGCCTTTGGTAATAGGAATTTCTAGTCGTGACTGTGTCCAGGTTCTCAACCCAGGACAGATGTTCTAACCTGTGGTATTAGACCTGCAGTCACACTTTTCCAAATTTCTAATGATTCCCTCTCTCCATATGCTTCTGACATTTTTCACTGTCCCCACGCTCCTCTCTGTACTCCTGTTCCTATCCAGATGAGCTCTATGCCCAGAAACTGAAGTACAAGGCCATTAGTGAGGAGCTGGACCACGCCCTCAATGACATGACCTCTATGTAACTATCTGACAGAGTGGGGCTGGAACCTTGGCTTGTGGGTGGGTGGGGTTATAGGCTATGTATAGTGTGCTTTGGTTTTATCCTCTGGAAACTAGAATCTTCATGCTATCTTAAAATATTGGTGCTTATTACTTGTTGGCAAAAGCTGGGGTGGCATTTCATATTGAATGGGTAGCACCCTGATCTCCATGTGGTTTTTGAATACTTTGTGCTAATAGATCCTTCATTATAACACCACGGTTTTTCTGTTTGGTTCTCAAATTTAGTCTTCTTAGAGGGGTTGCTACTGAAAGTAGAATCATGTCATCCTGTAACTAAGGATGTAGGGCCCAAAGAGCCAGTGACTTGGGCCTAACGTTGCATAACAATTCATGACTCCTCCTTTAATTTGTGTCCTGATATTAAAGTTCTGGGGGAAACCCATGATTGGAAATACCAAATTCACCAAAGAATTAAGCTGAGTCCCAGAGCAAGCCAGGAGGTAAAAAGCACCAAAAAGAGTTGTTGGGGACTTTATCCGTTTGCTGTGGACACTTGATGCTAATTCTCCTCTTTGTATCTTTCCCACTAACCCTGAGAAGTCACATGACTCAGGCAATGAGTCTTGTCTGGCTGTCTTTTCCCATTCCTACTGCCTTCTCTTCCCTTTTCTCCCAAATTGCTGTGTAGATGGATGCTAGTCCTTCTTACCTAGAGTCTCCTTACTTTTTCATACAGATAACTATCACCGTTTCTGCTCTGTTCTGGATCTGCCCCCCCTTTCCTCGGGGAGCCCAACGCCCCACTCTCGCTCTGGATTCCATGTGGGTCGGCCTGGCTGGTCCCCAAGGCAATAGGATATAGTGGGGGGCACAAAGCAACTTATGTATTCTTCCACTCCACCACCCCTCCTCCCCCAAATTAAAATGTTGAGCTGCTGGAAGCCTCTTGCCCCCCCTGCATTTGTGTCATTTACAAAGCGGCTGCTGTCCCTGAGAAGGAGCCTTGGGGGTGTGATGTGGAGAACAGCCCTCCCTCCTCTGACTTATATAATCAAAGCCACTTTTGTGTGTGTCTATTTTTTCTTGACATTTAAGCTCAACTGATGTAAGTCTATCAGAGTGGTGGGCTAGCAGAGGTTCTTTTGGGTAGGAGCTTGAGTCTACATGTGGGCCATGGGAAGCTGAGCACTTCACTTAGCCCACCTGGAGGGCTCTGAGGCTCCTATTCTCAATCTCTCCTCCTTTGATAGCATCCAAGAGCCTCCCGATAATGTATTCTCTGCCCTTTTTCTAGTTGTTCAAATGGTACATCCTCAGAGCATCTGATGAACTCAGATGTCTTACTACCAAACTTGACTGATTAGATCATCCAAAGTCACAGAAAAGCACACAGAATTTTCAACAGATTTTTGGTTTCTTGTCCAAACCCTTCTCACATACTTGAGGCTCATTGCCACTTGTTTGTTGGTATGTGCCTGTGGAATCTAAAACAGATGATAAACGATTATTACTGGAAAAACTAGAACAACCCATCATGTATGTTTCAGATAACGTGCACAAGGTAGTAATAGTTTATTACATACATAAAAATGGTAAGTTTCTGCTCGTAAAATTGTTCCTAGTTTATATTGTGGGATTATATAAAAACATTTTGCAAACTCTTACTCCAATTTACATAGCAGGATGATTTTAGTCTAAATAGTGTGGTGGTCACCAAGGGGCTCACTTAGTACTTCAGTTTCGCAGCAGATTATATATTTAAACTTGCTTTTTTTTCCTTAAAGATTTTGCTTATTTACTTGAGACACGCAGAGAGAGAGGCAGGCTCCATGCAGGGAGCCCCATGTGGGACTCAATTCTGCGACTCCACGATCACGCCCTGGGCCAAAGGCAGGAGCTCAATTGCTGAGCCACCCAGGTGTCCCGAAACTTGCTTTTCTTTTAAACAGAGCCAAGTGGAGAGGTTTTCCCTATTGGGTCCCTATGAGACCCAGTGAGACTTGAGGTCTCATTGAATTCAGGTTTCTTTTCGTTCATACCATTTCCTGCTGCTACATAGCCTTTGAGATTAAGGTATTGATTATTCAGCTGACATTTAACTGGTATCTTTTAGGTACAAAGTTACTGAGGTGGGGACAGAAATAATCCAAGATGGATGCACCATCCTTATTTTTAGGTTGCCCAGAATCTAGTAGGAGAGAGAGCATATATATAAAGCTAAAGATGATCTGTGATCAGTGCCACAAATAATAAACTTGTGGAAATTCAGAAGGAAAGAGATTGATTACAGGGGGATTGATTAGGAAAGATTCACAGAAGGAGGCACATAATAGTTAATTAATAAACATGTTAAAACTCTTCATTTTTATTGGGTTCTAAAAGATTGATTTTCTGACAAACAGATTTTGGTTGAGGGATAGTTATTGAGCATTTTAGTCAGAAGCAAAAGTAGAAGCATAGATAGAGTGGGAAGGATATAATAGTTGTGAAAGTAGATTTGGACAGAGAAGGGGCCACTGTGTACTGAAATCAGGTGTGGAGTTTTCTTGTGTAGAGATTGAGGATACCAATGGAGATTTTGAACAGGGATATATGTTCTGGTGTGAGTAGCAAAAAGAAGAGTTGATTCGGCAGCTAAGTTAATGTGTTGCAAGGCATGCAGATGATCAAAGTGATCCGTTAAGGTGATGATTCCTGAATTTCGGTCATTTGTATGTCACTTGGTGGCTTTTGCCATATTCATGTGCTCCCTACATTATTGTTTTCTTCACATATACTCTTGTTTTCAGATTTTCTTCTTCTTTTTTTTTTTTTTTTTAAGATTTTATTTATTTATTCATTAGAGACACAGAGAGGCAGAGGCACAGGCAGAGGGAGAAGCAGGCTCCATGCAGGGAGCTCGACGTGGGACTCGATCCTGGGTCTCCAGGATCACACCCTGGGCTGAAGGCGGCGCTAAACCGCTGAGCCACCCGGGCTGCCCTCAGATTTTCTTACTGTAATAATTCTAATTTAAAATCAAATGTTTGAGGTACGCTAGTGATTTTTTTAATGTACTTAATGTACATTAACAATATAGCAAGTAAGTTTTTTTTTTTAAAGTTTAGAAGCATATACAGTCAGAAATCTTGCATAGCACTAGCAGTGAGTATGCCATGCTTCGAGAAAAACTGGGTTAGCTATTGCAGTTTTCCCAGAGATTGTATCGCAGAGAGATGGCATTGAAGATGCTCACTGTGAAGGGCACTCAGTGTGAGGAGGAAGAGTCAGGGCTGACTGGTTTGGATCTTAGGAAACAGCAGTAAGACAGGTGTTGGGAGGTCAAGTGGTCCTTTTTTGAAGAGGCAAGAGAGGTGTAAGGGAATAAGAGTTTGAAATACTGGCAGGTATCCAGGTGAAAACAAAATTCTGGCGGGTTGAGGGGAGAGGCTGATTGATCTAAGAGAGGTTTGGAACTCCACACAGGTGGCAAGCCGTTTAGACCATGAAAGTACATTTAGAACCCTAAAGACAGTTGCAGATGTAAAAGGAATGAAGCAAAAAGGAAAATCTGTGCAGAGGAGGAATCCAAATGGGACTGGTTGGTGGGATGGAAAGAGAAAGAGTAACTTTGCTGATATAAAAACTTGATGACTGGATGATTTCCAGAGGTTCTCAACAAGTTGAGAGGAAAGATAGCTCAAGATGGGACATTGTCATTGACACTTTATTAATTCGAGGGTGTGTTTTGAACATTAAAATCAAGGAGAGAAGCCACATTTCAAGGAGCAGAAAAGTAAACTAGTGTGAGGAAAATACAGGCAAGACATATGGCTTAGACCAGTGCCATCCAGCAAAACTTTAGACAGTGATGCCCAGTACAGTAGCCACTAGCCACATGTAGAGCCTGTCGAGCACTCAAAACATGGCTTATAGGACTGAGGAGCTAAGATTCTGTTCCTTGTTTTTAGTGCATCTGCATTTAAGTAGCTATGTGTGGCTTAGTGACTCTGTGTTGAATAGTACAATTCTAGATGTTTTAGTATTTGACTGGCACAGAGAAAGGCTTAGAAAATAAAGAAGTATGTGAGAATGGAGAGAAGTTAGAGGAAAAGTGAGGCACTGTACTTCTAGTAGCTCTGTCTTTCCCCACGAGTGTGACTGGTGTAAGCAAGGATGGAGACCAACAAGCCAGCATACCTGAGTGAAATTTGAAATATGGTGTCATGCTAATAAAATCATTCCTCCACCCTGTGTTACTTGAGCCTGGATTAGCAATCAGAATGGGGTCAAGAAGCATCATTGGTAATCTCAGAGCAAAGCATTTGATCTCTTTTCCCACTTGATTTCTTTCTTAATTTTTAAAAAGATTTTACTTATTTATTCATGAGAGACACAGAGAGAGGCAGAGACATAGGCAGAGGGAGAAGCAGGCTGCCTGTGGGGAGCCTGATGGTGGGACTCAATACCAGGACCCCAGGATCACAACCTGAGCTGAAGGAAGACACTCAACTACTGAACCACCCAGGTGTCCCTCCCACTTTATTTCTGGGAATGAACCCCAGGCTGATGTGTTAGAGTCTTTTCTACCTGTCCTTATGACAGTGTTGCGATGAGGCACAACACATGACTAGATCCCAAATTACCTAGTGTTACCTAGTGGGTGGAACTGCCCTGTTGTGCTGGGCAGCCTTATCTTAGCCCCACCCAATCTCTTCCTTTCTCTTGGTTCTTAGCTAAATACCCGCCCCCCAGCTTTAATTTTAGGGGAAAGTTTTTTTAAAAAAAGGCAAAACCCATTCCTTCTCATCTCTAGAATTGTTTTTGTTTTGTTTTTAAAGGTTTTATTCATGAGAGACATAGGCAGAGGGAGAAGCAGGGTCCCATGGAGAGCCCAGTGTCAGACTCTATCCAGGGATACTGGGATCATACCCTGAGCTGAAGGCAGACGCTCAACCACTGTGCCACCCTGGTGTCCCAAATTGTGAGGCTTTAAAGCATGTGTAATTTGCTTTACTCTTAGCCTCCCCACTGCCTTTTCCTATTATAGAATGGAATTGACCTGATTCAGACCAGTGGAGCTTAAGTACGTCCAGCATCCATGGAATTGTTCCCTACTTAATTGAACATGCCTAAAAGAAACATCAGACCAAATAGATTCTTTGGCTTGCCTTTTTTTGTTTGCTTTATTTTGCTGTTATCAGGGAACTAAGAACTTTTACTAATGAGCTGGTATCTGATCCTGAATTTGTAGTCACTAGAGACAGCAGTGTTAAAAACCTTCCGTACTGGGACGCCTGGGTGGCTCAGTGGTTGGGCATCTGCCTTTGGATCAGGGTGTAATCTTGCAGTCCCAGGATTGAGTCCCACATTAAAATCTTTAAAAAAATAGAGAAAACCTTCTGTACTAAGTTTAAAGTGAGAATAACCACATTTGCCTTTTGACTTCCTGTACTTCTTAGGGAACTGTGCATTCTACGATTTAATCAGGCAAGAAAATGATTCCACTTCTGTCTCTTTTTTACTTCCCTAAATGGAACAAAACCCTCACTGACCAAGCTGTTTTGAGGGATTAGATTCTGATAGGACCCTTCTCTCTCCAGAGTGGGAGTCACACTCAGTAACCTGGATATGGATGCTACAGAAGAGTCAGGCAGTACTTGGAATCTGTTTATAACACCACAGAAAGCTTGAGAAATAAGTTCACAAATTTGAACCTCTACATTTGTCAAGGATGCCCAGTGAATAAGACAGGTCCAATCCCTGGCCTCATGGAGTTATAGACTCATGTAGTGTTTCTTAGTGGGGGACTTTGGTCATTTAAGCCAGGATGATTCTGGGATGTACAGAACAGTCCTACTTATTGCTGTCCCCTGCCCGATAAATATGTGTAGGGTCTCTGGTTATTGTGACAATTAAAACCTGTCCCCACATGTTTCCAATTTTCCTTCCAAGGGGAGAGAACGGGCACGCGTACCGAGAGCCACTGGTACAATTCTGAAAGTTCGCTCTAATTCTGCCCTTTAGTACAACTATGATTTTTGGCTATTCTCCTCCAGGATAAATTTTGTATACATATGTTTTATGTTTTGATAGTGTACATAAAGTGGCAAATAACCTTGGGACCATACTGGCCACCATCTTCCAGGGAGAGCTGGAGAAAGACCTCTGCCCAGAGGGCAAAGTACTTGGCAGTGCCTCGACTGTGGGCACAGCAGCTCCACAGATGCAATAGGTCTTTAAGACAGAAGAGTATATCTTTGTATTGAGGTCCTAAGACCATTTGAAACAGACTGTAGGGCAGCCCGGGTGGCTCAGTGGTTTAATGTCGCCTTCGGCCCAGGGCGTGATCCTGGAGACCCGGGATCGAGTCCCACGTCGGGCTCCCTGCATGGAGCCTGTTTGTCCCTCTGTCTGTGTCTCTGCCTCTCTCTCTCTCTCTCTCTGTCTCTGTGTGTGTATCTCATGAATGAATGAATAAAATCTTAAAAAAAAAAAAAAAGAAACAGACTGTAAAACATGGAAAGAAATCTGTTTGTGAGCTTGAGAGTCAGAGACCAGGAAGGTCTCTCCCTAGATTCCTCTTATCCCTGCGCTGCTCAGATGGGTTTGGTTTCTTTGTACTCTGTCTTGAAGGGTGCATTCCAAGCGGAAAATTCAGATAAAGTCAGTGATTTGAGCACTTAACTACTCTTACCAGGAATGCTTTTGGTTATTCCAAAACCAAAGCATTGGTTATTGGAAACCACTTAACCGTAGCTTTACTAAATACGGGGACTTTTAGGGCACTTGGGTGGCTCAGTGATTGAGCGTCTGCCTTTGGCTCAGGTCATGATCCTGCAGTTCTGGGATTGTGTCCCACATCGGACTCCCTGCAGAGAGCCTGTTTTTCCCTCTGCCTGTGTCTCTCATGAATAAATAAATAAATAATCCTTAAAAATAAATAAATAAATATGGGACTTATTTTTCTCCCATAATAACATGTCCCAATTGGAGCAGCTGTGGCCTCGTCTTGCTCAGTTTCTATGATTCTCTTACGGTTGAAATCTGTAACTCTGACCCTCACATCCATATTCAAGGTGAGAAAGCAAGTTAGTTTTCCCAGAAGACTTCCAGCAGAGTACCCCCTATGTCTCATTGGCCAGAACTGGATCCCATGATCACCCCTAACTGCAAGAGAGGCTCGAAAAACAGAACAGGATAATCTTGATTCACCTTCCCTGAGCTGGATGTGTTGCTGGCCCTAATAGGGTTGAGTTCTTTTTTGGAAAGGGGAGGTGAGGTTTTGATGGGCAGGCCACTAAGGTAGGTTTACCACTGAGCACCTATAACAAGGAGCAGTAGAAAGTAGGACTGAGTGGGTGTCAGGATATTGACCTCAATTTAACATTCATAATGCTGTACTGAATGCTTTTACAGAAAGTGTTCCCACTGTTGGCTCCAGTTCTTGTCAAACCCTGATTACAAGCCAGCTGTGTTCCTTCCTTTGCCCTGTTGTGCTTGTCTGTGTCTCAACCCAGGGAATAAATACCTTTGCAGAGGAGATACTGTTTTCTTTCTCAGAATGTTGTCCTTCCAACTTGTCAGTTGGGATTTTTTATTTTGTTCCTCTGTTGGTCTTTCTACCACCTGGTAACTCTTACTGTCCTCTGAATCTTCCTTGCATCCTCTTGGCCTTACAGATGCATGTTACATATACCAGCTCGTCAGAAGTCTCAGAATTTAACCTCTGCTACTCTATTAACCTCCCATTTTCCTTTTTCTCTTCTGTTTCCCCTCCTCCTCTTGTGTTCTTTCCTCTGTTGCTGCTGCAGAGCATGTCTATAGTCAACTTGAGCGAAACCGCCTGCTCTCTAGCAAGCTGCGGCTGACACTACATGTTCTATGTGACTGACAGGCAGGACTCACTGGTGCCCATTAGGCCGAGCTTACTGCTCACACCACTGACATGATGAACCCCAGCAAAAAGCTGATTGTTTTTTTTATTTTTATTTATTTTTATTTTTAATTTTTTAATTTATGAGAGAGAGAGGCAGAGACACAGGCAGAGGGAGAAGCAGGCTCCATGCACCAGGAGCCTGACATGGGATTCGATCCCGGGTCTCCAGGATCGCGCCCCGGGCCAAAGGCAGGCACCAAACTGCTGCGCCACCCAGGGATCCCTGATTGTTTTTTTAATTTTTTTTATTTTTATTTTTATTTTTTATTTTTTTAATTTTATTTATTTATGACAGTCACAGAGAGAGAGTCCTTTTGCCCTAGCAAATTGTTTTGTTTTTTTAAAGATTTTATTCATGAGAGACACCGAGAGGGGCAGAGGGAGAAGCAGGATCCTCAGAGGGAGCCTGATACGGGAATCGATCCCAGAACCCCGGGATCACGCCCTGAGCCGAAGGCAGACACTCAACCACCGAGCCACCCAGGCGTCCCTTTTGTTTTGTTTTTAAGATTTTATTTATTTGAGAGAGCAAGAGCGGGGGAGGGGCAGAAAGAGAGGGAGAAGCAGACTCTGTGCTGAGCAGGGAGCCCAACGTGGGGCTCCATCCCAGGACCTTGGGATCATGACCTGAGCCAAAGGCAGATGCTTCACCGACTAAGCCCCCCAGGCACTCCACAAATTGTTTTTTACTCTGGGCAGTGAGAATATTGTTGACTTCCTAACTGCACTGTAGAGTGAGAACAGTTGACACTGCATTTTTATCCCTTTTCAAGAGATAATGGGCGATGAAAGGAGGGGCCTGAGAGATCATAGGAACCTGGGAGAGGTTTCTGGTTTTTTTTTTTTTTTTTTTTAATTTTTATTTATTTATGATAGTCACAGAGAGAGAGAGAGAGAGAGGCAGATACACAGGCATTGGGAGAAGCAGGCTCCATGCACCGGGAGCCCGACGTGGGATTCGATCCCGGGTCTCCAGGATCGCGCCCTGGGCCAAAGGCAGGCGCTAAACCGCTGCGCCACCCAGGGATCCCCGAGGTTTCTGGTTTTTACCTTTACTCCCTGCTCTGTCACCTGTGCATCAACTGTAGGCTGTGTTCCCCCTGCATGGATGTTTTCTCACAATAAAAGGAGCAACTGGACAAGGTGTTGTGACTGCTTCATCTACAGGCCCAGAGATGGGCCTTTCTGACTAGGTGGAAAAAAGGGAAGGGAAAGAAAAGGGGTGTAGGTATTAATAGCTATGTCTTGTATTGAGTATTTCCCCCCCTCCACTAGAATAGTCTGAGTGGTGGTTTGCTTGCTTAGCAGATTAGATTTTCCTTGGTGTTCATGCAACTGGTTTTCTTTCTAACATGTTCCTTCTTGCTTCTTTTTCCTGGTTTTATGTTGAATTGTAAGTAACTATCAGGCTAGTTTTGGACAATAAATAGCTCTATAAAAATCTCAGTTGAGATTTTGCTTATATTTTTGGTAGTATTCTTGGCTTTGTTTCCTCTAATGATTCTGTGATAGGCCACGGGGGTTATTCATTTATCCCCAGTTCCTTTCCCTTCCTTTTTAGAGGAAGCCTATAGTGTACAATGTTCCTTTTATATTCTTCTCAACTGAGATTCTTTTTACTGGTGGAAACATGCCCATCCTTGTTCTTGGGGGGTCACACCCCAGTGAGCCAGGGCAGGTAGGCACTGTCCTATGGGCAAAACCTAGAAGAAAGGATGGCTGATGCTTGAGGCTTATTGCCTCCTTCAGTGATGGAAAACCGAAAGCCTTGTTGGGTGTGAATGAATGAGGAAACGACTGATAGGCCCCTCCTCCCCCCGAAGTATAGCAACACCTGCAGCTCCAGCCAGAGGCTCTGCAGAAGCCACTGGTGCAGTAGCTCAGGCTTGCTGAGAAGACAGCTGCTCTATGAGTCTGCAGCTTTCCTGCAGCAGGAGTGATTGATTCTCGGAGTGGGTAGATATTGACATTTACTTCTATTTTTGTGATGTCTCTCCTTTACCTCCATTAGATAAGCTGAAATGCACCAAAGAGGAGCACCTGTGTACACAAAGGATGCTGGACCAGACTCTGCTTGACCTGAATGAGATGTAGAGCACCTCAGTCCCACCGTGCCGCCGCTCCTCCCTCTGACCCTGACTCTGCCTGAGGCCCAGCCTGCCCGAAGCTGGCCTTGAAACTGAGGGCTGATCTTTAACTGGAAGGCTGCTTTCTCCTTTTGCTGCCTCTCCCACCCCTACCCCTGTGTCTTATTCACCAAACTGTCTCTGCCTCTCCCTAGAGATTCCAGTTGGGTTTGAGGCTGAGCACCTTTGGGAACAATGTTTAAGGGAATGTGAGCACAATGCAAAGTGTCTTTAAAAGCATGTTGTGATGTACACATTTTGTAATTACCTTTTTTGTTGTAGTTGATGTAGGACATTTGTAAAACATTCCAAATAATTACACAGTTCTGAAGCAGCAGTCTAACCCCTTCCTCCCATTTGGAATTAACTTTTCAGCCTAATGAATACTGGAGCCTCGTTGCTCTGTCCAAAATACCAGCCAAATTAGAAAGGTGATTCCAGAAGTTGGCCAAAAAAGTGTGGCTAAGGGTTTCAGCTTTAAGGTTATCTTTGAGCAACATAATGTTTTTTTTCCATCAGATGTGACCAAACAAAAATTAAGATGGTGAGACCTCGATCTGAGACCAAATCCTTGTCCTATCTTTGTCCTAACTGCTTACAGAATGGATCATGTTCCCCTTATGTCGAGGTGACCACTTATTTGTTCTCCTGCCTCCTTGAAAGAAAAAAGAGAATTATGTTCGCCACTGATTTAGCCACTTGAATCAAACTCATCTCATCACCCTTTTCTGGGTCCAAAGCTGCTGCCTCTAAACGTGCCATCTCATCGTGCTTTGTATCAGTTAGTGCTGGAGAAATCTTGAATAGCTTATGTACAAAACTGTTTTTAAATTTTATATTATTTTGAAACTTTGCTTCTTTAGGGTTGGAGCACATTGACCACCCCGTCTGGCTGAGAACTCTCTACAGTCTGTGGGCTGACAGTGTGCTGATCTTTTAAAAGTTTCTTTCCCTCCCCAACTCCCCTTTTAGGTGAGGTTTCCGTGAGGTCTGTTAGGTGTGCATCCTGCAGCTTATTGGCTTAAAATGCACTCTTCCTTTGGTGGCCTCTCTTTGGGGGCCGATTGGGAGAAAGAAACCAATAGTGCAAACTGTTTTGATACTGAAAATTGACAAGTGTCTTTTTGAAATAAAGAACCAGTCCCTCTGATCCTCAGACCTACTAGACTCTTATTTACTAATCCATATATGTTTTCTCCACAGGAACTATGAAATTTGAGTGAAAAATCAGATCTTTGTGGGTGGTAGCAACAGGATTTAAAGAGAGCATACACTTTGGAAGCTGTCCGAAATTGGGTTCCAAAGTCAGCTCAGAGATTCTTAACTTGTATGTCCTGATATAAACAATTTAAATCTTCCATCTGTAAAATAAAGACAATATGTATGAGCAGGGTAAATGTAAATACTCGAGCTGGTAGCTATGTGCCAGGCTTCTTATGAGTTACTTGATTCAGTGCTGGCACGTTCAGGGTAGGCTGTGCTTTTTTCCCTTCAGCACGGTGTTCATTCTTGTGCAGTGTGGCCTTGTGAGGCTCAGGGCTCTGAACTGGCCTGGACAGCCTGCGACACCGATCACATGGCCCAGGATCGCCTCTGAACGGATAGTCCGCCAGCTGTTCGGAGAAAACCACTTAATTGAACCTGAGGGCCTCTCAGGTCTGTGGAGGCGGGCAGTGTGTGGTGGAGACACTGGGGCCTGGCATCTCCTGCACTCTGGCCTGGAAGCCCGACACGACGCAGGTCCTTGGCACAGTGCAGCTGTTGATACCAGGCCTGGGGTGCTGGGGGCCAAGGGGCTGTGGGTCGGGGGCCTGGAGAGCGGGGTGGGAGAAGCCTGGGGGTGCTCGCCGTTTGCAGGCGCGGACCAGTGTGGATGGGGAACTGAGAACGTTTGTTTATGGCTCGTAGCCGAACACAAGGTAGGCAGCAGAAGTTAAGCTGGGAGGAGTCAGCACCACTCAGACGTTTTGCTTCTTTACCATTAAAGAAAAATGTCGCCCAAGACGTCGGGACTTCGGAGCAACGGGCTCCCTTCGCGCCTCCAGCTGCCCTCGCAGCCTCGTCAAGCGCTCCTTGGAGGAACTCCCATAATTCCCAGCCAGGCGGAGGGACCGCCCCCTGTGACGTCGTGCCCGCGCACTGGCCGGCGTTGGGGTCGGGCCTCAGCCGCAGGCGAGCGGGAACTGCAGACCCAGTGGTCGCCATGACTGGCTCGGGGACCTCGCGGCACCGACGTGTCCAGCCGTTTGTCGGCTGGCCAGCCCCTGGCATCCTGCTGCTGCTTCAGAGCCTGCTTGGGACCCTGGGCAGCAAACTCAACGTGCCGCAGGTGTTGCTCCCCTTCAGCCGGGAGCCAGGCCGCGTGCCCTTCCTGCTGGAGGCGCAGCGGGGCTGCTACACCTGGTGAGGGGTGGGGGGCCCCGAGGCTTTGTGCCCCCGTGGTCCCGCCAGGGTGGACGGGCTGCCTTCGACGAGGACCGCACCCACAGGGGCCTTTGTTGTGGGGTGCTGCTGGAGCGGGAGGTGGGCCACGCCTGGCCTGAGGGCACATCGCTGCGGGCCGGGGGTCTCGGGGCAGGGCTGCCGTCCCCACCGACCCACCGAACTTGGCCTGGTGGGTTGAGCTTCCGCTTCTCGGATCGAGGCGAGGTCCCAACAAGGTGAAGCGGGGAGACTCGCCTCTCGCTTTGGGTGGAGAGGAGGCCTGCCTGGGGGCGGTATAGGGGGGCTGCCTCAGCTCCGGGGGAAGTGGGCGCCGCCGCCCCGCACCCCCGGATTGCTCTTTCCCCTTTCCTGAGGGGCAGTAAGGCTGGTGTGGAGCGTGAGGACTTCACCCCCGCCCTGCGGAAGGGTGAGGGCATCGGCTTCCAAGATGACCCCGGTCGGGCTGATGCACAGAATCTCAGCCTCCAAAGCCAAAACACTTTTTTTTTTTTTTTTGACTTTTAAAGATTTTATTTATTTGAGAGAGGGAGGGAGGGAGGGGGCAGGGAGCCAGATGTGGGGCTCAGTCCATGACCCAAGCCACCCAGGCGTCCCAAAACATTAACTTTAACATTGTATTTTGAGTTGGACTCACACCTCGTAATTTAGGCAGTTTTTCTGTTTTAACAGCCCAGTTTTAAGATTGGACAAAACTCCTTTCTCGGGGTATGTCATAGAAATCTATGTCTCTCGTTATTGAAAACCTCAATCTTGTTTTTACAAACTGAGGGAAGAATGGAACAATCTTATTTTAAATATTGAGAGAGGAATATAATACTTGTGTAACATTGCTGAAGTGGTCATTGGGAAAAGGTTGTGATCAGCCTCTGAAATCTTGGTCTCAGCATGGATTCTACTAAATTTAAGGAATATCATTTAAATATACCTGGTAATATGTAACACGGAAACACTAAGAATCTGTGTTCTGCTAAAAGTTAATTTTAACCCACATTCTTATTTCAGACTCTTTTAAGTTTTTTATTTTGGCAGGCATTCCACCCATCATGACGCAGTAACTGTTGAGCCTTTATATGAAAATGGCACCTTATGTTCCCAAAAAGCTGTGCTTATTGCTGAATCTACCCAACCGATTCGCCTAAGCAGTATTATTCTTGCTCGAGAGATAGGTATGTTGAGAGAAAACATTATGGAATCGTTCATCTAGAGTAGAATAATCTGATACCTTTTATGCATGAATAATACAAACAGTGTTGGCTCAAATGATAAGTAGAAAAGAGCATTCTGCAGAATAACCCTAATTGTGGCATCCTATTCTGTGACTTTATCTGTATCTGTGTCTATATCTCTATCTAGTACCTGGCATAGTAGCAGATACAGAGTGGAAACCCTGGTTGTTTGAATCATTGAAGAAAGAAAGGAATTATTTATTGGAACTAGCTTAGGTGTTAAGGTCTGAAGTGGGTCTTGAGTAAGGCAAAATGTACTATAGAAGCTAGTACTTCTCAGTGTGGTTTGTGAACCTATGTCATCAGCATCATCGATATCACCTGGAGTCTTAGAAATGTAAATCCTTGGGACACCTGGCTCAGTTGATGGAGCACATAACTATTTATCCCTGGGTTGTGAGTTTGAGCCCCACACTGGATTTAGAGATTACTTAAAAATAAAATCTTGGAAGGAAAAGAATGCACTCGGTGACTTTTCCAAGTTGTTGGCTATGTGGGTTGGGGTAGCCTGAGTCAGGGGTCCTGTGCCAAGATGCTTTAAAGCCTTGTTAAAAATGTTTGGGTCCCCATGAGGCCTTACTGTACCCAGATTTACCAGGAGATTTGGGTAGGAATGGAGTTAATGGGCTTCTTCTTTTATAAAACCAGGATTGCTAAAACAAACCAAACAACAAAAAACCCAGGATTGCTTCGAGTCCTGCACCTGCTCATACTCATCATCAACCACCTTTACTTAGGGTACACATCAGATGGAATGTCATTCTGTCAGAGCAAGCTCTGTTGGATGGGAACAGGGATCATTGCTGTACACTTATAGATGTGTTGTTTCCTTTGTGGCATGAATAAATGTAACTGTGAGATGCAAGAAGAAAGAAAGGAAATGTAAATTCTCAGGCCCCATCTCAGTTCTGCTGAATTAGAATCTCAGGAGTGGACCCAGGGAATTAAAAAGCTCTCAGTGATTCTCATGCATACTAAAATTTGGGAAGCACAGCACCAGTCTATTTTAGATCAGAGCAGCAAGAGAAATGCTATTTGTATCTCAAACCAGAGCAAAGCTTTTTCGATCCCAGAGTTTCTGGCACTTCATTGCTACATTGATAGGCCAGAAATATCTGTATGATATACCTATACTGTACGTTATTAAATAGGTTATTAAACAGAAGTTCACGTTTTTTGGTATACCGTATTTCACGTGATTGAAGACCCATCTAGTATAAAGCTGGGTTTTTTTTTTTTAAGATTTTATTTATTCACGGGAGACAGAGTCAGAGACATAGGCAGAGGGAGAAGGAGGCTCCATGCAGGAAGCCCAACGTGGGACTCGATCCTGCGTCTCCAGGATCACGCCCTGGGCTGAAGGTGGTGTTAACCTGCTGAGCCACCCGGGCTGCCCAAGCTGGGTTTTTTTTTTTTTAAAGATTTATTTTTTCATGAGAGACAGAGAGGGGCAGAGGGAGAAGCAGGCTCCCTGTAGGGAGCCCGATGCGGGACTCGATCCCAGATCCCAGGATCATGACCTGGGACCTAAGGCAGGCGCCCGACCGCTCAGCCACCCAGGCATCCCTAAAGCTGTTCTTTTTTTTTTTTTAATGTACATTAAGAAAAACAGCCAATTAATTTTTTTTTAATTTACTTATTATAGTTATACAGAGAGAGAGGCAGAGACATAGGCAGAGGGAGAAGCAGGCTCCATGCACCGGGAGCCCGACGTGGGATTCAATCCTGGGTCTCCAGGATCACGCCCTGGGCCAAAGGCAGGGGCCAAACCGCTGCGCCACCCAGAGATTCCCACATAGCCAATTAAACTATGCTTTTCTTCACTTAGAATTTCTACTTTGTACCTACAGAAGAACCGTGACTTAATTAGATGGTTATTTTTTTTTAATTTTTATTTATTTATGATAGTCACAGAGAGAGAGAGAGAGAGAGAGGCGCAGAGACATAGTAGGCAGAGGGAGAAGCAGGTTCCATGCACCGGGAGCCCGACGTGGGATTCGATCCCGGGACTCCAGGATCGTGCCCTGGGCCAAAGGCAGGCGCCAAACCGCTGCGCCACCCAGGGATCCCTAGATGGTTATTTTTTATTATGCTTCACTCTCATGCCTAATAAGAGGGAAAATATAAATAAAATGGTTAAGATATTTTTTTAAGATTTCATTTATTTATTCCAGGTGTCCCTGTTAAGATATTTCTAAAACTACTACCTTAGTGTTTCTCTCTCAGATGAAACGCTGTTTCACTGGGAATCATCAGTGTCTGTGTTTATCCACAATATCTTCCTCTGTGGCATCAAGACTGTTAGAGGTGCAGTATTCTTAAAAGAATCAATTGAGGGCAGACCAGGTAGCTCAGCGGTTTAGTGCTGCCTTCAGCCTGGGGCCTAATCCTGGAGACCCAGGATTGAGTCCCATGTCAGGCTCCCTGCGTGGAGCCTGCTTCTTCTTCTGCCTGTGTCTCTGCCTCTGTGTGTGTGTGTGTCTCATG